GACCAAACCAACCCAGACCAGACCAAAACTAACCAACCCAACACAAACCAAACCAACCCAAACCAGACCAAGGTAAACCAGACCTGACCAAACCAACTCAAACCAAACCAGACTAGACACCAACCCAACCCAAACCAGACCAAACCAACCCAAGCCAGACAAACCCAGACCAAAGCGGACCCAACCTAAACCAGACCAACCCAAACCAGACCGACCTAAACCAGACCTGACCAAAACTAACCAACCCAACACAAACCAACCCAACACAATCCAAACCAACCAACCCAAACCAGACCAACCTAAACCAGACCTGATCAAACCAACTCAAACCAAACCAGACCAACCCAAACCAGACCAGCCCAAACCAACCAACCCAAACCAAACCAGACCAGACCAACCCACGCTAAACCAGACCAACCAAACCAACCCAGCCCAACCTCATTCTCACAGCACCTGGAGAACGAGGCTCTGGAATGACTTTCAAAGCCTCCACTTCCCCAGGACCTCCCCAGCAGCCAAGTCCTGCTGAAACTTTAGGTGTGGACATTGGAGCTCTCAGGTGCTTTTCCCTGTGCAGTGGGTGGGCTGTGGGTGGTCCCAGGGGAGGTGAGGAGGATTTTGTGTTCTGCACGTGCAGGGGACAGCAGTGTGTGCCAACATTCCACCCTGAGTGTGGCAGGGTGGGAGAGGCTCCATGCTGAGCTCTGTGGGTTGTGTTCCTTCCAGGCAATCACTAAGGAGCAACGAGAACTGATCATGGCACTCCAGGAGCTCCAGTGATGTCCCACAGACTCTGCTGAGACAGCTCATCATCCCACAGCACTGATGGGACAAGGTGTGTGCACTGAGAATCACCCCATCAGGCCACTGGAGACTGCAGAGGGACTGGAACACCTGCTGGACTGGCATGGGTTGATTGAAAACAAAAAACCAACAAAAGAAACAAAAAAAACCAACATTGGTATCTTTGGAAATGGGTGGCAGTTCCCTATTTCCCACTCAACCTGACAGAGGAGTGTCACAAAGTGTCTGTGCTCTCATCTGCTGCACTCAGTTCTGTGACAGGCCTGATTCCAGTTTCCAAAGCCACATTTGGGTGTTTGTAGCTGTTTTAGCTGTGTGTTAGACAAAATTCAGTGCCTTAAGCCCCAGGCCAGGCTGTGCTGGGGTCACAGCCAAGGCTCCTGCCTTGTTTGCAGGTTCATTGAGTCCCTGTGCTCACTGCCCTTGCAGATGTGGCAGCAGCTGCTGCCCCAAGTTCCTCGTTACCGTTCCTTCTGTTCTCTTCTGAGTTATTTTCTAGCCCTGGTCCGCTCCCAGGGATCTGTGCAGAGGTTGGAACAGCCCTGCCTCCGCTTTGTGGCTTTGTAGCACAGGGTTTTCATGTTTTTCCTGTGGAACCTTCCAGAGCCAGACTGGCTTTCCCCACCCAGGGCTGTCTGTTGCTGCCTCTCCTGTTTGTGGGCTGGGGAAGCCAAGGGATCTCCCTGGCACAGCCCCACCTGTGAGTGGAGTGTTCCTCCAGCATGGACAGGCTGTGCTGGGGCTGGCCAGGGAGGCAGGAGAGTCCCCTGCACCTGCAGAGGTTCTGAGGGCACAGCTCCAGGGTTCCTGCCCTGCCCTGTGCCCAGCTGGGATGGGGCAGTGGCTGCTGCACCACAGCCCAGCCTCTGTCAGCAATTAGAGCAGCAGAGTGGCTGCAGCGTTTCCCCTCTGCCTCCCCTCTCTGTGCTGGAATCTCCTCAATAAACTGGGGCTGTTCTTCCCAGCTTGGCTCCTGCTGTGCTCTTGGCCCACGTACTCTGTGTTTTATGGCTTTGTCTGACAAAAGCTCTGCTTCAGCAGCTCTGTCTGCCCCAAAGCCTCCGGTTCTGCTGCCCAAGGCAGGGCTGGGATTTACAGGATCAAAAAAAGTGGTCAGGATGTGAAAGAGGAATGTTA